AGGATAAAGGACACTCTTTCGAGGATGCCAATGTTCACATTTTGGACAGAGAGGACAGATGGTTTGAAAGAGGAGTGAAAGAAGCCATCTATGTCCACTGTGAGCGACCATCTTTGAACAGAGGCGGGGGTTTACGACACCAACTGTCTGCCATCTATTATCCAGTTTTGAGATCCCTTCCCAGACGCCTTAACGCCCACTCACATCCTGGGCCATCTGATCTCAGGAATTCGCATGATAAGGTGCGGCCAGGTTTCACAATGAACTCACCCGAAACTCTGGCTGATTCGGACCCACACCCAGTTTCACACCTTGGCTCAGGCGATTAGAGGATCATCAGGGGGTCCTTTTGTCCCTCTGTGGGGGGAAGCTCCCACTAGGTTTATATCTGGGACTCTCCACCATTTGACCTTAGAACTGAAGAAGCTTCTCAAATGAGAGGTGAAACGTCTTCAAGTAACTTAAAGAAGTCCAGACGCTTTTCTTTGCAAGCTCCTTTGACTACGATGACCTGGATGACTGAGAACCTTCACAGACAAGCTCAGTAGTGACAACATTTTAATCTAAAGTTTTCAGATGCTTCTTTCTTACAGGTCAGTGATGTGACAGACGGGGTCCGTCTGAATAAACTTTATCGACACAGTCACAGACAGGAGGTGGTGTGTTACCTGTTGGCCGTGCAGGTTTGAATCCACATCTGGACACAGAGCAGAGACACAGTGACATCATCACACACCTGGATCTGCTCATAGTGGATGGAGCTGAGGACTAGACACACACAAACACAGTAAGGTTAAACACAGTTCCCGTGGGTCTTTTTAGTACTGAAAGCTGCAGGTTTAGTAGTCAACTGACCTTTCTCTGTGAGGTGAGTGTGAGCGGCGAGCAGCCAGCTGACAGAGTCCATCACCTTCCTGAGGAGAGACACATTCTGACACACACACACACAGAAAGATTTACATCCTCAATCTGACTGCAGCTCAGCTCAAACATCCACCAAATCAAGCTTCTCACCTCCGTTCGGTTCACCAGCTGAGCAGCCAATGACAGCAGAGCATCCACGACTGACGGCAGGAAGAGCCGATGAAAGGTCTCAGAGTGTGGGCCAGGCTCCACCCCCACACAGCAGGAGCTGCAGACAGACAGACAGGTGTGGGATCGCCATCCTCCTTCAAATAAATCCTCAGTTTAAAGTGAAGCTGTGATCTCAGGTTACCTGGTGAGGTGGGCCAGTGTAGCAGCGGCACTCAGGTCGCCCCACAGGCTGCTGGGATGCAGAGACAGAACACGGACGCAGTGGATCAGCACGCCGCTCAGATACAGCTGAGACTTCAGCCGAGTCAGCTCGCCACTGTTCACGTGGACAGCTGCCGAGTTCAGAGCATCTAACACAGGAAATGTAAGATAAAAAGAGTTGTACATGCTCTTATTCTGAAATTTTGTTTGACAGAGGAACTGACAGGAAGTGAGCCTCTCACTGTTTAAGCTATCATTCAGCAGTCTGAGTTTTTCCACCGGGGTCAGGTGTTCATTCTCCAGCTGCCCCTTCAGCTCCAACACCAGCTCATTCTCCTCTTCCTCGGGCTTCTTCTTCACCTCCATCACCTCCAACTTCCTGTAAACACAAAACAATAATTTCCAAAATATCTGATACAAAACATAAATACCATAATTTTGTTTTTAAAAAGAATGATAAATAATAAAAACATTAAAATAGCAATTTGATAGCATTTCAATTATATTTAAAAAAATACAGTAATTTTATTTGAAACATTAAGTCTGTATTAAATTTTTCAAAACATTAGATGTTAAATTAAGCTAAAAATAAAAGGGAGTTCTTTACCTTTTATTGCAGATAGAAATGGTAAAATAAACTATAACCGTTTAAAAGATTACAATCATTTCTGTTCATTTAAATTTGTTAGCATTTTTATTAACTCATATTTCATTTATATATACAGCACATTGAATTTGTCACTTTTTTGGGGGGAGGGGGCGCTCTAGCAGCTAAATTGATTAAAGTGATTACAGTTTTTTCTGAATGCTTAAACCCTAACTGTGATTCCTGTAGCACAATCTCTAAAACTATCCAGACTTATAGCAAAACCACTCACTGAGTTGGCAAAACTAAAAGCACAAAAACTGCTTTGCACTCAGTTTGCAATTTTGTAACACACACTTTGCAAAACTGTAGGCACAATTCACTGCACAACACTCAATTACCTAATTTCCAACACACTCCTAGCAAAAGTATACACATGTATGGCTATCATTAACACTAATTTGCCAACTGTCTGGCACACTTTCACATGTGAAAACTTTTTTAGATAATTAGTTCACTTTGCAATCAGCCTAAGCACTATAATACAGGTAAGCTGTGTGTGCGGAGTACAATGGAGGGAGCAGAAAGAGTGAGAAGTAGAGGAGGCCGAGGAAGAGGATGTGGAGGTGAAGAAGTAGGATGAAGAGGACGACAAGGACAAGGAGGAGCAAGAGGAAGACAAGGAGGGGGGAGAGGAAGATGAGAAGTGGGGAGAGGAAGGGTAGGAAGAGTAAGAAATAGAATTGCTGATGACATCAGAGCTACAATAGTGGACCATGTAATCAACCGTGGAATGACCCTGAGGTCAACGGGTCCAGCCTAACTCGAGCCGCTACACTGTAGCAAGTACCATAAGGACATCTTGAAATGAGAATCGGTTAGTACAGTCACAAAGATTTGTAGCACTGCCATATGCCAATGAGAAACACACCGATACCATTGATGTAAAAATACTGAAATTGTTACTTTACAGAATTGCTAGATGACCAGATGCTGGGGGCAGAGGAAGCATGTTCACTGCAGACCAAGTAACCCATATAGTCATTATGGCGATTGCAAATAATCCTAGACTTGGAAATAAACACTTGTGTTTGTTTTGATGTGTTTGAATAAACACCAGAACTTGAAGTTTGGATCCCTCTATGCTTATGGATCTATGACAGAAGTATGAGCTCAAACTGACATAGCCTACCTTGTGCACAGAGAAAGCAAAAGCCAGATGTGTTTTGTATTCATACCATCAGTGTGCAGTTGGCGCATTGTGTGCTTAGTAGATGATGGCTTGTGTGTACTGTTTGATACGGAAACACCATTTTTACGAAGGTGTGAAGAGTTAATCTAGCTGTGTTTGCTTTTGCAAGAGAACTACGATGTTTTGATGATTGGGTGACAGGTTTTCTTATTTGTGTGAAGAGTTTTGCAAAATTAGCCAATAGTTACAAAAAATGTGCTTAAGCAATCAGAAAAAACTGTAAAATAGAATTAAAACTTCTAATTACAAGAATTAACATACCTAAATCTTATACACCAAAAATAGTTTTTTAATATATTAGTTCAACTATTCCTAATGTGTTTAAATATTTCCAAACCGTTAAACCTTTTAAACGTTCCACAAATTACAAAATAATATTAAAAATGTTGACAGAAGCACTTGGGTTAAACTTTTAAGAGTTTAAAAAGTCCCAAAGTGTGAAAAAAATCTATTTAGGAGTTCATATAAAGGGTATAAATATTATAGTCTTAGAACGTCTCGAAATGACCCTCTTCGGTCTCTGTAGAGATAAAATTCATAATGCAGGAAATCAGTGCACTATAAAAAAAGTGCTCTCATTTCCATCTGAAATTCTGTGTGATGGTGCAACACGCTCTCAGGTAAAGTGGCTTTAAAGTACAGGTACACAAAGTAAAGCCCCGCTAAAGCTAATACAGACAGAAGTGTTTCCGGTGTGTCTGCAGAGCCTCACCTGACTCGTGTTTGTCGTCTCAGCTAACAGTTTGATACCACTGAGTGACTCAAGCGGTTACATTAGCCGTCTACATAGCACTTATGGTCACTCGCTGAGTTACAAACCTTCACTTAAAAACTCAAGAAACGGCGACTATTATCTAACGAGCTAGTTCTGTTAGCTGTTAGCACAGAGTAAGCAAACGACTCCTCTGTTACTACGGTAACATGACGTCATGACGCAGCGACGGCACACACCCCTCTGCAGTAAAGTTTCATTCAGGAAAAAAACAACTTTAATGAAAATCTTTATTTAAACGTTTAAACATGTTAAAATAACAAAAATATAAATAGAAAATTAAAGTGAAATTTTTTTTTCATGTCTTAAAAATAATTTTAAATATTGCAAGTGGCATTTGGTGAAATTAGTGAAATATTTTAACACAATTTATGTGTTGTAAAAATCAAGTAATCATCAAAAACTTCTGCTATACTTTCAAGATATATAATTATTAGTATTTTAATATATGTGAAAAAAAATATTATAATATAAGATATATAATTATAATATTGTGGAAAAAATAAAACACAGTTAAAAATACAAAAAATTCCATATTAAAAGATATCAACAAATTGAAAGAAAAAAATTAACTGTATAAGAATTAATGAGTCTAGTAATAAGGTTTAAAACAACTTTATTTTTAGAAAGTCTATTGTTATTTAATTCATTATAACTTATGTATATTTAATGCTGTTTAAAAATTTTTTTATTAAAATTATTAAATGAGTAGAAAAATATTAGAAGTGCATGAAATATATTCTAAAAATTTCACAAAGATGGTCAGATATTAAAATAAGAAAGTACTTGTGCAGCTTAATGAATAGAATAACAATTTATTTTCCGAGTAAAAGGAGATTAAAAATGTGAAACTAAACTGATTTAAAGGTGAAACCCTGTTGCTGTGATTACTCATTTATCCTGTTTGGTTTTAATCCCGCAGTTTGAGGTCAGTCTGCTGTTTGCTTCTCTCTCCTGCAGGTGGCGCTGCAGCTTTATTCATTCAGCTGTGTAGGTTCCTCTGCTGCTCAGCTTCACTTCAAACATATTATTGTACATTTCTTCGCACTTTATTTTCTCTTCATTTCTGAGGAGGTTTGCTATCTTTTCCCTTCAGACGTTTGCAGCTGTGTGTGACTTCTTTGCGTTTTCTGAGTCATGTGAAATAAATCTTTAACTTTCTGATTTGTTGGAGAACATCTCACAAGTGTGTTATTATCATTATTATAATTGCTTATGTTAATTCATTTATGATTTAACGATGTATTATTTGCACATTAATAAAGGGATTTCATTGCTAACAGCATTCAGTATGACAAGAATATAATCTAAAGAATGAAAACAGCAGAGCAGTACAGTGTTTAGCATTGTTGGCCCACATCAAGAAAGTTTTAGGTTTGAGTCCAGGACCGACTGTGTTTTGTCTGTGTGGAGTGTTGTCCCACTGTGGGTTCTCTCCAGGGTATATACCAGTTCTATGGCTGCTGAGAAAGGCTTCAGTCTCCCTTGGACCCTGAATTTATAAATAAGAATATGGATGGATAAAAAATATATGTTAATATAATATAAAATAATATATAAGAAAGTATATGATGGAAAACGTCTATAATATGAGAATAATACATAATCTAGAAAAATCTAGAAAATATTAAATATGCCTACAATAATAAATTGATATTAGCATATAATATATGTTTTAAAATTAAATTCTAATATAATTTTAAAAAGCGATAAAAGTTATACGATTAATTTAATGTAAACATAACGTAATTTAAAAAGTAATACACACAAAACAATATATATATTTTTAATTATGATATAAAAATTTTAACCTAAATCTAAAATAATCTGCAATAATAAAAAGTATCTAGAAAATATAAACAAGAAAAAACAATTAATCTAATACGACATATTATAAAGTGAAAATAAAAAAATTAATATAATTAAAAAATAAAAATGTGTGCTAAAATTATTATATATTTAAAATAATGTTAAAAATGATATGAAATACTCTAAATATAATAGAGTTTAAAATAAATATGTTAAATAAGAGGATAATATAATAAATATATTATAATTAATATAATTTAATATAATATAATAAAGTGGAGGCTGAGTAAGCCGATGGCGTCAGCCTCCGTCACGTTAACGGGAGCCGCGCTCGTAGTACCGACGGCAGCCTTAACGTTATAGTAACGGGGGGTGAGCAGGGGGTGGGGAGCGGTGCAGCAGATGCTGCAGCCCTCGTGCATAGCGCCCCCCTCCATCTCTCCGGTGCGCCTGCGTGCTGAGACACACACCGACACAGAACGTCCGTCCGCCTGGACCGACAGGAGGAGAGAGAGAGAGAGACTGAGGGGGGGATACCGGGGGCAGTAACGGTAACGGAGGCAGTAACGGTGACGTGATGTGATGCGATGCCGCGCGGGATCACGGTAACGTAAGAACAGCAGCAGCAAGAGGAGGAGGAAGAGGAGGAGGACAGTCGAGGCTGAGCCGGGGAGGATGCAGCAGTGATCGGTACCGGGAGGAGGGGAACACATCCGACCGAGCCTGCACCGACCCGATCTGATGTAAAGCAGCAGGGATGGACGGGTAGGCAGGGAGGAGGCGCGAGGAGCGGAGCGAGCGACGGTACATAACGGAGGAGAGAGCGCGAGGAGGAGGAGGGCGGCGGAGCAGCGCGAGGAGGAGGAGGGAGGATGAATCCGGTGGATGGAGGAGGAGAAGCGGGCCCGGACGGCCTGGCGACGGCAGGTAGGGTGTGTGTGTGTGTGTGTGTGAGTGAGTGTGTGTGAGAGAGAGAGCTGCTGTCGCCATGATGCCTCCACATCCGCCCATTGACTCAGTGTGTGTGTGCCCTATATGCTACATACCATGAATGTGTGTGTGTGTCAGCATCTCTGTCCTGTCGCTCAGATGTGTGTGTGTAGGGGGTCCCACCAAGGAGGATTATGGGAAGGCCTCCTTGCTTATTGAACATGTGTGTGATGTAATGTAGTGTGTGTGTATTTTATATTCTAACACTGAAACACTGTATCTAGAGGTGGAGGCAGCAGGAGCTGTGCAGGAGCCCCCGAAACCTCCAGCCCCCCCAACCGACCCCATGAACACACTGAGGTCTATATGTTGGAGGCAAGCTGCTCCTCCAGCTTGTTTTGATCTCTCTCTGTCTCTTTCTTTCTTTCTTTCTTTCTTTTTTTTTTTACAAAGTTTGCTCAAACAATCGTCAAACAATCGTCTTTCCAGGCAAATGCAGATAGAGCACCAAAAACTGCAGTTCCCCAAATGTCCACTGGAGGCAGGCTCCAGCAGTGAGTCAGTCCTCATAGACTCCCATGTTAAAATATCTACCTGTACAACAGAAATACACATGGTTGCAGCTGCTGTAGAGGCTTAAAGTTTGCATTGTGAGGGGTGTGGCCTCTTTGACTGACAGGCAGATGGCGACCCAGGCAGCCCAGCTCAGCAAAGCAGCTAAATGGAGTCCCCGAACAGGACATCTGGACCATGTTTGTGCTTTTGGCTGCTGTGCAATCAGGCTGTAAATTTTTATATAAACCTGCAGACAGAAAACATCGAAGGACATATTTGAGAGGCTCCAACCAGTGGTAACTACTACCAGCCCATCTGGGAATCTGGGAATAATCAGCTATTTTAGTGTATATATCTGGACATACAGTAAAACAGTGGCTGTTATCACCCAGCAGTCATAACAGTTATTATGACTGTTGGGTCACCTTTCACCCCTCCAACTTCCATCTCCTTAAGCTGGATAAGCTGTTAAAAACAAAAAAACCCAAATTTGACATAATATCACAGAAATTGGAGAATGTTCAACATCCACATTTAAGAAGCTGCTGCCTGAAAATGTTTAATTAAAAATGACACAAAAAATGATCCATCACTTAGCAAATGTAATGGATTTTCTGTCTTTCCTGAAGCTTTTCTGAGATGAACGTGGGATTGTTTCTTATTTATTTTAATGATCAGGACTGCAGCTAATTATTTTCCCCGCTGATCAATCCGCTGATGATTTCCTCTTCGGCTGTGTGAGGTGGCTGAGAAAAAGCAAAAAGGGAAAAAGGAGAAGCAGCGAATCCTCGTACTACAGAGGATGAAAATGTGCTTGATCTAAATAAAGCTGCAGTAGAGGGACGAGTTAACATGAAAAGGAAATACTTGAAGTACAAGTACCACAAATCTGCACTACAGCACGGTGTCCATCTGAACTATGTATAGTAGGTGGATGGGTTTAATACAGCACATATTAGTCTTAATTTTTCTTAATATAATGAAAAAGTGATATTAAGGCAAATGAAGCCCGGAAGACTTATTGTCATTTTGAAAGATTTACTGCTTTTCTCTGCAACTGGTTTGGTTTCTTGTTGCTTTATGGGCTAAATAATGAAATAAAACCAGAGTTAACAGATTCATTTATAGTGAAACCAGACATTAAGTTCTCTAGTGTCATCTTTTAGGGTTTTGGGGGGTATAATTGGTGAATTGGTTGTGCTTCCTAAAAATGGTCCACCAGTTAAAGCTGGTTACGATAGTGTAATGTCCTGCTGTGATATGACCCTTTGATTGTCTGTGATTGACTGGTGCTTTTGATATCCCAAATCCATCTGATAACTTCTGTCAGGATTGGTCTGAAGATCATCTGTGCCAAATTTAGTGCCAGCTGGAAAAAAAAATTGTGGCCTCAGGAAAAGTTTGAACTTTTTCTTTGAACTCACCTTGATCTAAGGAATTCAGCATACCCCATGACGAAAATGGATAGATGATTCAGAAGTTACTTGTCTAAACACACCTCCAGCTTTAATCCTAGAGATCGGCTAAAGACCCAATAAACACTGGTCATTAGAGAACTAGTTGGTGGTTGCTGGCAGTTGGTTAGTTGCAAAGCGGTATATGGTGGTGCATCAAAAACCTTTTTGTGATTGTTTTAGGTGCTCTAAGATTACTGCAGTTGCCCATTGTTTGTCATTGAACACCATCTTGTTTGCAAACACTTGCCAACTACTTGCCAAGAAGCACTGAAGCTGTGAAATGTTTGACTGTGATTGAGAATGTTCACCTTTTTGAAACATATTGGTTGCGACAGTAAGACTTTTACTTTGAAGATACGATTTGTACTTCACTTTGTACAGTTTTAAAAGCACTCAGAGAGTAAATGGTGAGTTTT